TTTACAGTTTATTCAGAAGCGCCCATACGTCGGCGCTGGCAAAGGTGTTAGTGGTTCATTGGAAAGAAAGGACAAAATGCAAAAAGCATTTGATTGTTTGGTGACCAGCCGGAACCCAAACACACAAAAAATTTTAATTCAATCAACAGGCAAACACTAATTTATCCTCGTAGCGATGAGGTCGCTGTCGTATTCTAGTGGGTCATTAGGAACAACGTGCTGAGTGTTTATGACTGAAAAAACAGAACATTTCATTTACTACAACGGAAGACTCGATAGATACTTTTTAAAAACATTTTTCCCTGAAAACTCAAATTATTAAGCTATTAAACTTCCATCAGCTACATAAATGAATCGACTATTTACCGCAGCTGTGCTGTTATTTTACCAGAGGACTCATTTTTTATGGTTCCCATTGTTAGCGATGTGTTTTGTCGTTACAGAGAGCGCTTTGTGGGGATTATTATGACAGATACTCTAATATCATATGTGCAGAACTTGAAATTTACTCGAGTTCCTCCTGCTCATGTTAGTTGAAGCCCACACCGACCAGCTGTTAGAAAATTACTGACATGTTTTTTCCTTCTGCTTTGACTTTTTCAATGAAACTAAAGTCTTATGAATCTTCAGCAGGCTACAATGAGAGAACTACAAATGGCTCTCAGATGGACTTTGTTAGTTGTATATAGTCAGCTTTGGCCTTTTCATGCTTTAGTTAGTTTAACATTTCCAGACTGGCTTCACTGCAGAGTTCTTCTTTCTTCACCTGCCCTGACATCATGTACAACTCACTCGTTTCCCTCATTTAGGCTGTGCTGTACGTCAAACAGGCTTATGATGAAGTCCACAATGTGAGCTGCTGATGGGAGGCAATGGGAGGGAAATGTGAACAAGTATGTGTGTATGAGCGTAACAATATGCCAGCAGAGCCAGTCAGCCAGCAAGGTGCTTGTGGGGAACCAATCACTGCATGGGAGGGACGTATACTTACCCTGGGACTGCTGAGAGGACTGGTGGACAGACCAGAGGACGCTCCACTGATTGACCGTGACCTACACACACACACACACACAAGGTAAAATCAATATTCACAAAGTGGACAGTATGCATGATGCACAATACCACAATGTACAAAGCGCGCACACACACACACACACACAAACTTGTTTTCATATCTTGGTGAGGACATCACACACACAAACTTGTTTTCATATCTTGGTGAGGACATCTCATTGACATAATGCTTACCTTGCTGCTTACCCTGAGCCTAAACCTAACCATAACCTAACTGTAACCCTGACACTAAAACCACATTTTGAGCCTCAAAAATGTCTTCAAACTCGTGGGGACGGCACTTTGTCCCCATAAGTGACTGTATAGTATAGTAGCATGCCAATTTTCTGTCCTCACAGCGATGCCTAAACATGTACACACACACTTCATCCAAAGGAGCTGAACCTTTCTGTGTAGCTATTCCTTTTTCCCTTCTATAAATACATTTTATTGTCTCCGTCCTGCTGAAACCTTTCCTCTTATCAACATCTGTGAGCTCTCCAAACCAAACTTCTTGAGCTGCCCTCGTGGGGCAACTAAAAATTCATTTGTCAGCGAGGCTGTTCCCCCCCAGGCCACAGTCACAATAAGCACCATTAAGCTAGCATGCTTTTTTACAGCTGGCATGAGTTCTGGACCTCA